TAATAATAATATGAAGAGAATAATGCATTTATGCCACAATATGTAGCAATTTAGTATATCATGCTAAACAAGTGCTAAAAGGGGAAAAGTGCAATGAACTGACATAAAGCATATTTTTAGGTACCTAAGTGAAAAATGATCAGCTACTCGTGGAGCCTGATGCTGCCTTGGCAACAGTGCCTCTGATGTTTTCACATCTGGCTGACTCTGGACTGATGTAGTGCCCCATCATCCTTTCTGGATTAGTGGGCTGTAATGGTGCATTTTTTTTTCATAAAGATCTATTCATATAATGAGGTTAAAACAGAAATAAAAAGTTTGTGTGTTTTTCTAAAATCAAATTGGATATGTTTGGTTGTACATATAATAAAGATGAAATAAATAAAAAATAGTAACTTACTTTGTTTATTGTTTTTGTGTTACTTTTATGTGTTTTTAATAATGTACAGCACTTTGGCCAAAGGTGTTGTTTTTACAGTGTTTTATAAATAAATTTGTATTGTATAATAAATCTGAATTTTAGACTTTTTAGGGCTTTCAATTGATGTGGATCTCTTAACTGCACTGACCATTTTTATAATTTGTGATTCTTTGCTTCTGTTTATTTTCATCATGATGTCAAATAATTATTATTGCATGTGATAATAATATGCATCCTGAGCTGTTGTGCCTTTTTCTTGCAGAACATAATCATTAACCTGCAGATTGAAGAAAAAGTACAGGTTGTAAAACATTTTTCACTTTAGTGCATGTWCCTCTATACTGTGCAGAGCCATAAAGCATTAGCACACATAAATTCTGTTATTTTTTKCTTTTATACCGGAAGACTCAACCATCCCTTTCAGTTAGTTATAATGCCCATGACYTACATGAGGAAATCACAAGGAAAAAAAAGGGTGAAATAATGGGAACCCATTTTCATCAGATCTTTGAAAAATTCATACTTTCTAAAGGCACGAGGAGAACATTTWTGTGAGTGCAGATGACAAAAGGTGATTTAAAGGGTGAAGATGCAAAAAAGGGGGAGGGGGAGTCAAGATACCAAACACAAACTGGTTCCAAACATTTGGTGAGACTGAGAGGAAGATTTTTTTTCTTATTCCCTCTATAGAGCCAGAAAAATGTGAGAGGACATTGCTGTATTGTTTACTTTGGAACTGTTTTTACAGAGAACTGCACCGCGTTCAGTATCAGAGAGTCTGAAGCTGGTGGTGTTGCACTCAGATAATCACTTAGTGGAAACAATGAAAAAGTGGGAAAACTCCTACCGGGAGTGGGTGCGGCGTCCTGTTTGTCATGCTCCTCGTGCCACTGCATGGTGCGGTAATAGCTCAGCATCACTTCCCACAATGCCTTGCAGAGATCCGTCAGGCAGGGAATGTAGCTTTCAATGGTGATATGCTGCCAGAAGACAAAGGGATGAAAGAAAAAAATTAACAAGGTCAAACATAGTGGTTTTTTTTAGATAAAACATCCTTTTCTGTCTCATCTAGCTGCAACGCTAACTACATTATAATATAACATTGAAGTATTTACAGCTAAACTTCCTGTTCAGACTTCCTACCTAGTTTCCTAAATATTACAAATAGAATTTGATGTAGTGTTAAAAATATGTTTTAAATTACTATTTTATAGATTTGTATTTTTTAATCCCATCTAGAAAAATAGGAACAGTAATGTATAAGATATGAGTTAATACCTACGTGGTGTTATTAGCAATCATAATATTCAAACAACACATGCCCACCTAAATATATTTTGTTTCATAATTTTTAAAGTACCTAAGAAAATAGCATAAATCATTAACAACTATGTTTAAAAAATACAAAACACATTTTTACTAACATGTCTGAATTACAGTTTTTCGGTCAGTCTGGAAAGATATGTGTTCGGAATTAAAATGTGATCCACTTAAGTTCAGCTGCTACAACGGTAGCCACCGGCTGCAGTTCGAGACTTTACAATCAGCCAGCAGAGTCCTGCCAACATGTTTGGAAACAAATTAATCACAACCAGATGAAACACTGCGGTGTACAGCGGCCATACTTTTGTTTAAACCATTAGGATGAAAATGTTTCTCTAAATTGCGTTTCTTGCAAACACTATAATTACAGGCCAAAAAAACCAACACAATCATGACTACACAGCAAAACAATGAGGATCCAAGAAAATCCAAACTGTTAAAGAAGTAACTCGAGCAAAGTTCCTCACTATCAAGCTGTTTTTTGTTCTAATCTGGCATTTATAGAAATCATGACTGACAAACCAGTGAGTTAGGATAATCTCATAACAGAAGACTTCAGAGAAAAACATCTGAAGTAGATTAACGACTGTAAACTCAGAAAGAAACCATTATTTAATTGTTACCATCAGACATCAAGTCTACTATAAATCTGCTTTTCGATGCAACTGAAAAGCCCAAATGGCAAAAATTTTAGGAGCTAAAATATGTCTCTGAACAGATAAAAAGTAAAATAAATCAACATCCTTGTCATGGAGCATTCATTTGACAAAAACTTAAAATTAAAAGAAAGAAAAAAGCGTGATATAAATACTTCTGCTAAATAACAATCATGAAAGTATGTTCATTTTCTCTGTTGGATGCTAATATGCTGATATAAATGCAACAAAATAAATAAATAAATAAACAAAGAACTGTCTGTGCTGCAACTGTGAACTTTAATACCTCCCTTGGATATGTTTAAAAAACTAAAATGTTGCAGTTTTCATTAAGCCTGCTGCACATAATCACCAAGTTTTCTCTCCCTGATTTTGACAATAAAAATGATTTGCAAATAAACATTTCACAGCAAAACAACAAATTACAAAAATATGACCAAAGCAAACCTGCTCACAGAGGTGACCTTCAGCTCCCAAAATTAACTCGACTCAACTTTATTTGTTGCATAAATACGACTAAAGAATAAGTGGATTTATTTTTCTTCTAAAGCAAATGCTGAGTAAATGTTAAAGACAGAATTTAAACTGGGGTAAACAAAAAGCAACAGTAGCTACAAAGCTGCATATGCACAATCTGCTGAGTGTTTCACTTTCACGTTATTAAACACCAACTGGAAATCATTTAGAAGATTGTTTTATTCAAATCGTTTTGGCAGATTATTTTTATCAGCATATTTGAATAAAAACACTGCGAAAATTGTCCATGTAACCAAGTCTTACAGTCGAGATCCAGCAAAAATGTGTTTTTGATCTTGGTTTGAGACTGATAGCAAGAGCAGAATGTGTTGGATGATTAACGCTATTTGTCTGGAAAATTTTCCATTTTTCAAGGAGTCTTACCATGTGCAATTGTCTTATTGCACTGGCAGATTATTTCACTTCATTTGAGAATATCCGGACTGAATTTAGTATTTTATATTTATTTTAGATAGTTAATGTTTGCAGTTTATGTAAGAGTAGAGATCTTTCTATGATAAAACTTTAAAGTGTAACTTACCCCCCCTGTGAAAAGATAACTCCTCCCCAAGGCGAAATTTGAAAAATGCATCAAAGTGGGTAGGGGAGGGGGTGTGGGTAGAGGAAGGGGGATTAGGGAGCGGAGGTGTGGCCAGGACGAGAGAACGTGACAGCTAGCATTAGCATAATTGATGCTACATGGAAAGTGACCACAGTATCGCAGACAGTTACATCTCTGAACGTCTGAGGTGGAGGATTTTCACCCCACACAAGCACCGGACAGAGGAGGAGTAGCACTCTGACCGCCTGACAGAAAAAAATAAAAGCACCCGCGGGGGGGGAGGGGGGGGCAGCTGCGGACATGAAAGCGCCTGCTGTGAAGCAGGAGGAAAGGAGAGGGGGAAAAGTAACTTATTTCTAGAGGCAGAACGGGTTGGAAGATGGCTGTTTGATGTAATGTATTGTTTTTTAAATCATCCTATAGGCTCTGACATGTTAGATAAACGTGTGTGTGTGTGTGTGTGTGTGTGTGTGTGTGTGTG